TAGAGACTTTATCAGTTATATAAAGTAGAATTTATTATAGCTTATTCTAAGCCTCTGTTAGATATGAATTGTTGTTAGTTTCTGTTAAATCGAGTATCAAGTGCCACAACGTATTTGTAAATTATAAAAAAAGTCTAATCAGCCAAATTAAAATTTTGAATTATTTTTAGGTAGTATACCTCTCGACCCAGTTGAGATCCTCTAATATTTTAAATTTTTTGCATTCGGAAAATGTGGTGTGTCATAATGGTTTATTTTAGCGCAATTAGTTAAAATAATGAACTTCGAATTCATTACTAGCTTTCAATGCTTATAATAAAATCATTTAATTTGATAAAAATTATAAAGTACTTTACTTACTTTTTGGATTACTGAAACAGAAAAAATTACAAAGTTTATCATAATGATTCGGATCTATGAATATAAATGTTTTTTTTGAAGACTAGATAATATTATATTTATTTATGTACGTATAGTACGTAACAAAGTGAAAATTTTAAGTTTCATATAATCTAACTAAATTAATTAATATCTCTGTACTCGCTGCATTTTTACGATAAAATGACAATATAATTAAAAACATTTAAACAAGGATCTCTGTATTATTCAGCAGTGTTGGCACTTGGTATATGTCCATATTTTTTAAAAAATTTGGACTATGTCCAAATCTATATGTCCATGTCCAAAAATTACTATGTCCATATTTTGTCCATATTATTTTAATTAGTCCAAATGTCCATATTGGCCAACACTGCTATTCAGCTATGGCGCACCAACCTGGTACACATTTTCCGGATGCACAAAAATAAAATAATTTTGACCTGAATTATTTTAATCCATCAAGTGATTTCGTGGCTAATATGATGTAGTTGATTTTAACTCACCATGTGATTTCATGGCTGATGTTACTCAAATAAAATTTCCTATGATAACCTACTGATTTAGAATTATAAATCTAGTAAAGTAGTATGATATCAAGGAACAGATTAGGTGAACATTGTAAAGGGCTAATTTGACCCTCCGGAAATACTACGCCCCGACGTAGTACGATGTCCTATTTTTAGTTTGTAGATTTCTTGTTTAGCCTGTTTATAATCAAACATAATTAGAAGCCTCACTGTAGACTAGTGTCAATCATTACCCGTATTTAGTAAAATTGATGTGTCGAGATGTTAGATTTAATTGATATTTTAACAATATCAATTAAGTCCCAAATGTATTTACTAATATCGCGGAAAGTATAAAAGCGATACCTCTTTCCCTGTAATAAACTCAGCTCACTGCGAGTTTAATAAAATAATCTCAGATTTGAGAAATAAATCCCTTCCCATAATAACCCCGATACCACATTCGTTAATCCACAATTACCCCCCCCGATTATATATAAACTGACCTTAACCCTGATAAACCCTGAACAAATCTTCCACGCCCTCTTTTAGACTTCCACTATTAGGGTTATAGTTAGTTTAGTGGTAGGTTGTAGATATTAGTGGTGAGACAATCGTCCCGACCTACCCTCGGACCCCGGACTTCCATTTCGCCCCTCACAACATGCATAGTCCGTATTAAAAAAAAATCTTTGCGCTATCAAAGTGAAAAGTGTATCACATAAATTGTTATTATAAAAGTTAAGTTGTGTTTTCATAAAAAGCTTCTACAAATGCACGTTCAGCCTTTTCCTTGTTAAAATTATCGTAACATTTTTATAAGAACCTTTTGCGAATGCTTTTCCTCCAACATAACCTACTAACATTTAAGTAAGTCAGTATAGTGTTTTTATAAAATTCCTTTTCTAAATTTTTACCATCTACAGAGCCGAATTTATTACACGTATTATAAAGAGATAAGTGAGTCAGAATAATATTTCTACAAAGAACCTCAACTAGCGCTATTCCAATATTCAAGTAGGTTAAAGTAGTATTCTTATAAAGAGCGTTTGCTAATTCTTTTTCACCCACAGGATCAAGTTGGTTATTCCAGAGGTTTAAGTGGGTCAGCTAAGCCAATTTATAATTCCAAAGTCCATATCAAAGTAAATAGGTTTAATAAAAAATAGTGTATTCGAATAATGGTTTTAGTCTATTTGGAAGTACTATTTTAAATAATCATTTAATAATAAAAGATATGTTTTATACTTTTAAAAGTGTTCAATTCCTTCCATAATCTTGGTACTGAAATTCTACACCATTTATGTTTTACAAAAAGACATGAAAACAAGTCTTCATTTTGTTTAAGGTTAATAAATATTTTGAAGAAGCATATTCATTTGGTAATTCTATTATCTTGAATGAATTAAAAAATGTTTAGTTTAAAAAAAAATTTATATTAACCAAAATTTTTTATATCAGATTTCCTAAAGGTTTAAAATCGTGTTATTTTTTTTAAATATAAATTTGTAAAAAACAAAGAATTTAAATATATTATTATAAAAATTATTACTGTTATTATAATGTAAAGTAAACTGATATTTGTATATATTTATTGTAAAAAAAATACGTTCGTATCATTTCTATTAAAAGTTTTTTTTTTTGCCTAGGAATTTGGCGTAATAGATGAATAACCATACCCCACTTTCGGTATATTCTCAAAATTTTATTTTGATACACTTATATATACGTATACGTATAAATTTCTTTTTTTGAGTATGCGCCACTTAAGGTCTTACTATAAGAATGTGGCATCGATACTTAAAAAAAAAACTTAGAAAATTTTTTCTGTATATATGTTATTTGATGTTTTACTAAAAAATTAGAATGTGACTAGGGTTGTTAACGGAGTGATCCAGGGTGGTGTGGTGTATACTCTGCTAGAGTATCACTTAAAACCACCAGAGTCAATACTCCAAATTAAACTCTATAGTTTATACTGGAGTTACTACTCCAGATTAAATTTATATATTGAATACTATCGCAGTATTAGCTAAGTTTATATACTACGTATACAGTATATATTTCTAATCCGGAGTAGTAGTGATAGTAACTCCATTACTCCATTTGACTTTTATAATAATCCGAAGTGGTTTGGCATATAAATCGCACCGGCATGGAGTGGCTTATACTCTTATGCTACTAAATGTGACAGATTTCTGAGTCATCTGATAATCACAATATTTTGAAAACGCGATATTAGACTGAAATGTTTATAAATGTAACTTTATCAATTGAAACTACTTTTTTCCCTTCATATTTTTAAAAAAGAAAATCAATTATAATGTCTAAAAATGCCGAAAATTTCAATCAGTCCTTGATAACAAACAAAGGTAAGAATATACAGTAATACACGTAAAATAGGGTCAACAAGTTTAAATAAATTATAGTTATACATTTTAAATTTAAAGAAGTTATTGACAAGGTTAATAAATTAATATAATTTCTTTACCATAGATGAAATCATGAATTCTGTCACTGGAATTAATAATTCAACTAAAATTATTGAAGAAAGATTGTATGGTCCCGTTTATTTTTCCTTCGGAGATGATATTTTTTCTATCAATGAGATCTTTTTAGTAAGGAAGCCTGATACTTTCATGTCAATATTTTATAAAAATTCTGATGAATTTGGATCAATTGATCAGGTGGATTACAAAGGTATGTGTGTTATTATTATCTGTTATATTGCTTTTATTAATTATCTTTATTTATTTTACTAATGATTTATTTTAAATAATAGTAAGTATTTTTGAAATATTTACAAATTATTTATTATAAGGGTTAATTTATTTTTATTTTAAGGGTATGAAAGTTCGAGTTCTTAAGATGCCTGAGATTAGTCCTTTGATGATTCCGATCGTGAAGGATTATTATGAGAACGATATTATTCCAATTTATGACATCAAGTATAATGGGATTGAATGGAAAAAGTTTGAGAAGGACTTGGATTGTTTGTTAATTAAACCTAAGGAAACTTTTGTGGAAGAATTGCATCGTTATGATTCAAATATTCTGTGTGATTTTGTTCAAGAAATAGCTAATTTTGTGCTTACTAAACATTTTCCTTCTAAGGTTCTTGAGATATGTTTTCATTTTAATAATAATGGGCAATTTGTTAATTATAGAAGAGAGTGGCGTATTTTTGTTGAAAAAGGATATGGGTTTTATTGTGTTTCTGAATATTTTGAATTTATAAAGAAAGGACTTTTGGAATATTTTCCGAGTTTTAAGATTAGTAAAAAGGCTGGTTCGTCTGGTGAAAATTCGATTGTGATTGAGAAGGTGCTCGACAGAAAGAGAGTAATCGAAATGGCCGAAAATACATTAAAAAAACGTATGATGCTGAAAGAGGTTGACGATCATGATGATTAATTTTTTTCTTTTGGTAGAAATTTTTAGATAAGAGGAAGGAGGGTTTTGTATGTGTATATTCATTATTGCAGTCTCATATGATATTTTCTTGTGATGTTAGGTTTTTTGAGTAAATTCTTTGCATTATCCACTGATTTTCGATTTAGTCTTGAACAATGATACCTTATTTGAACGTGAAGTTTAAAAATTATCATTAAACGAATAGCGGTTCCAATTCCTATTAAAACAGTTTAACTTTAATATTTACTTTCTATATTTAACATATTAAATAAAAAAAAAAAAAAAAAAAAAAACTTTAATATTTACTTAGTTGAAAGATATACAGTACTTTTGATAATTGCATATAAGTACCGTATTAGTACGTATACAAAATTCACTGTCTATGAAAATCTCATAATTATTAACTGACAATAAAAATAATAATTCGGTAAATGAAATGAAATTCTTTCCTTGGTGCATTACGTAATTTGCATGTCACAAGTAAGGATGGTAAAAAAATATCTTTCACCATTTTAAAACATGAGATGATTATGATTCTGAATGCATTAAATTCATAAGTCAGAACATCCTGATCATAAACATCACGGTGAAAAATGTTTTTTTTACCATCCTTAGTCATAAGTCAATGATTTCAGCACTGGAGAATACTGCACTACCCCAGTGTAAATACAGTATCGAATTTGGAGAGTTAAGTTATGACGAATGTAATAAAATCCAATAACTCGTATATCAATTTACTTCGTTAAACAATTCTTTTTCTATTAATAGAAATTTTGTTCCCCGACTGATTGACTAAGGCGCTTAAGAACACCCATAGTCATTTTTGAATCATAATTTGACATATATTATATAGGGTCTTTGCCTTGATTTCTTATGTCCCGTAAGGTCATTTTCAAGGCAAAGATCCCATATTATGATCAGTAACCATTAACGATTATGGTACTAATTTTTTTTAAAAAAAAATTTAGAAATGTTAAATTTTTTTTATTTTATTCCAGCGTTATAAGTTTGGTGACCATCCTACTATACATAACCACGATGTCTAGTACAAAGTACATTATTTTTACACCATGGGTTGCAATGACAGTAATTTTTTGCTTGTTTTTGAAACATTGTATAGGAGTCACGTCAATTTGTTTGAATAGAGATTGATATCGATAAATTCTTTTTTTTTTAAAAATATTGTCATTCTGTTTTAAAATATAAGACCAGAATATTATTTATGTAAATTTAACTTCAAAATTAGCTTCTTATTATAAATCTTAGGGTATCAGTCTTCATTATTCGACTATTCATATAATTTTTAACTATTGATTCAATAATTTAAGGTGGAAGAAATAAAAAAAAAATCAATGAATACAGTATTGAAACTATATCAAATAAAATAAATTAAAATTAAAACCAATCTTATAGTATTATCTTTTCTTAAACCTCGAAAAGGAGTTAAAAAAAAATCCCGGGTAAACTCCCTAATTTGGGCAGTTTGTTCAAAATCAAGAAATAATATATCAAAATATTTCGATAGAGTAAAATAGCTTTAAAATTTTAAGAATTATTGTTGCTTCTGGGCGCTTATTTGGATCTTCATCCCAACATTCTGTGTAAATTTTAGCATATTTTTCTGGTGTATCCTCAATAATTATTTCCCTTTTTCCCTGAAGAATATGGATTGGAATGCCAATGGTCTCTAAAGTTTGATACGGCGGCTTACCACTTGAAATTTCCCATAAAATTACTCCGAGACTGTATATATCTGATTTATTGTTAAAGTCATAATGAGAATTTTTGAAATATTGAGGTTCGACATATGCTGGCATTCCGTAGTTAATATATTGTGATTGTTTCTTTCCACAAGTTGTTGAACTTAAAATTGTTGACAAGCCAAAATCTGCTATCTTCATAATTCCATCATTAACAAGTATATTTTTTGAATGCTATGAAAAAAAAAAATGAAATAATTAGTAAATTCTTAATACGTATATATAAATACATTTTTAATCACATGATAACCTACAAGATCTCGATGCATAATATTATCAGTATGTAAGAAAAGAAGTCCCTGAGTTATTTCTTTGGCCATACGTATTTTATCCTTCCAATTTAAATTTTCAAAATTCATTTTCAGGAATTGTCGCAAATCTCCATTATTTGCGAATTCCAAGACCATACTATACCCATTAAAAGGGTCTATCAATTAAAATTAATTAATGTTTAATATTATTTATACGATTAAAATGACGTGTATTCTGAAAGTTCACCTTTAATCATGCCATAAAAACTATTTATGTTTGGATGGATCTTTAATTTTTGTAATAATTGAAGCTACACAAATTTAAATTCAGCAACGGTAAGTTAAATATTTTATTACATACATATGGGCGAAAATTCTCCAATTTTACATTGGTTTTGTGATTATTTCCCAATTATATATCTGATATCATTTGAGAATACAAGTCACTCTCATTAGTGAGCTCTCGATATAGTGAAGATTTTGATATAGTAAAGAAATTTGTTTAATTTTTTTTAAATTAATTGCCATTATTATTACTGGTAACTCTTCACTCGATATAATAAAGATTATATCAGATATAGTATTCTCTCGATATTAGCTATGGTGAAGGTTTGTTTTCTCAGCCTGATCACAACGAGAGTGACTTGTAATAGGATGTGAAATGTTTAACATGTGATCCTTCGGATCACATGTTAATCATTTTTACTGAAAAAGAATTCGAGTCTGGCTGTTTAGCTTAATATGCTCAGAGGCTGGCATATAAAGTTTTACGGCCAGATACGAAAATTATTGGTGCTTTACATTCCATAACTATTGGGCTTGCCAAGTGACTTGAGTTGTTAGTCAGTTGTTTTTTATATAAAAAATAACGCGTTATTATGATGGCCCAAGCTATAGAATAAAAGTGATTATTTCATCAGTAATAGTAAGCCCATTTATTAATCGCTTATAAATTTTTGTACCTGATAAGCACCAATGTTTTTTATAGGTTTAATAACTAATATTAACATATAATTTAAATTTATCATTTATTATATCACCTAATTTTAATAACAGTGTTTTAACTGTATATTTTCGCCCGTATTATGTACTGAAATAATTTTTAGTTAAATAATACCTCTTTTATAAAGTTTTCGATAATATTTTCATCTAAATTTATATCTGCCTTTAAACTTTTAAGAGCAACAGGTAACCTATAAACTTTCCATTCTGCCTTATGTACATGGCTAAATGCTCCTTCTGCAATCTTTTCTGATTTACTGAAATCATTGTGATTAATGAAATTAATGCGTTTTTCTGAGATAGTTTTTTCAAGCAATTTGTTTGAAAATGTTTTTGAGTTTATCATATTGAAGTTGATTATATGATTTTTTTTTTTTTCTTTTTTATAGTTTAATCCCCGTTGTTTAAATCAATATATACTAAGGAAAATAGATTATAAAATAAGAAAACTTTTTAAGACGTGTGCATATGATGTTATTAGTTAAGATCTTCAATTGGTCGTACGAATAATAATACTCATAAAATAAGTAATTCAATTGGTCAGGAATTCGAATAATAATAAGCAATTCAATTGGTCAGAAGTTCGAATAATAATACTCATATAATGTATCGATATGAATTGGTTAATTTTTGTAAATTAGATGTTTAGGTTCACTGACGGGTTATTTTTCGCTCAAATTTTTTATGTATCATATTCATAGAAATAAGAACAAAATTACAGAAGAATTTTTTTATATTAAAATAAAAAATTTGTGCAAGAAAAAAACTAAATATATTATTTTACGCGAAATTTATTATTAAAATATGAAATTTAAAAGACGCTTACTGCGTAAAAAAAAAAAAAAAAAATATGAAATTGATACTCCGATTGATCTACAAGTTTCAGAAAATTTATTTATCTTGCATAGTTTTTGATTAATTATAATGTGCCACACCCTAAGTTAATATACAAGAATTATTGAGGTGATGAAGCTGAAAACGGCTAAAACTGAAAATTAGGGGTCTCGATTTGAAACCATAAGCCCTGCTAAAATCTACTTATACTCTTTTAATATAAACCCTAACCCTAAATTCTAATCTAACTATTAAAAAAAAAGGCAATTACTATTTGTACACGAATGTATATACAAACGTATGATAAATATTTCAAAATTTTGCCTAAGAAACTACCTTTGAGGTTCTAATAAAAAAAAATTCCTTGCCAAATTTTGGTATATACTATATACCTTGCTAAAATCCCAGGCCTCGCCCTAACACTAATCGTAATCGGATTTTATTTTTATAAAAATTGTTTTAATTTCGATTACATAATTAATACTCGTGTACAAACACGTGTAAATTAAGTAATTTTCAAAAAAAAAAAAAACTAAAAAAAATACACCCCAAAAAATTTAATAAAGATAATTATTCGACATTTCATATGACGATGTGAATTTTTTGCCATGATATTTTTTGCGTGAAATTACGTAATCAGTATCACAGAAAAAACTTCACATGGTCATATTAACTATCCAATAATGTATACTAATATTAAAAATTTTCAGCCTCAGCCATTTTTAGCCTCAGCCATTTTCAGCCTCAGCCATTTTCAGCTTCAGCCACCACAATTATTTATCTGTTTATGGTTTATGGTTACTTGATCGGCAGATTAGAAAACTTTGTGCGACAATATTGACAGGGAGCACTAACACAAAAAAATGTTGATGGAAAAAATCTCCGAAACTATCCCAATCACGTAACTTATTTCCTTTATCGGATTGACGTGAGTATTCTGATCATATGAGCGGAAAATTGGAATTTAGTGAGATTAAATAGAATCTAGCGCATTTTTGAATTACTTTTATTTTGACGCTCCCCAAAATTCAGGGTGAGTCAGCTATTTGACAACCAATAAAATTTAAGAATAAAATTTAGATATCGATATGCGATTAATGTATGCATATTACGCATATTACTTAAAGTTACGTATGTACGTAGAAATATTTAG